GTATACACATTAGGCTGTGGCATGCAAATTGGTGCTCGTTCATGGGTAACTTTAGGCTTTGCTGCAGGGAGTCTCACCAGGCTTTTGGACATTATATGCATATACATCTGCAGGGAATTTAATTGTGAACACAATGATACCAAAACGAACGACGTAGCACAAGAATTAAGGTGAGAAAACTGAAACGAGTATACACATTTTACTGATTTTGTGCGCTCATGGGTAACTTTTCCGACTTTAGGCTTTGCTGTGAGGAGTCTCGCCAGGCTATTGGACATTATATGCATACACATCTGCAGTGAATTTAATTACGAACACAATGATACCAAAACGAACGACGTAGGACAAGAATTAAGGTGAGAAAACTGAAATGAGTATACACATTTAGGCATCGCCGCACGCTCACCCGCACCACTGGCCCCATGACGTCATAGTTTGCTGAGCGCGCATGGCGCCAGCAATAGTGTTAAGCAGGTGAAGGTGGCTGCGGTGTTACATACTAGGTTTAGGTTGCTGCAACGCTCTTGGTTGGTTGCGACTCCGGATGCCCCGTGACTGCCTCGTTTTGGTTGTTGGTTTGACTCGTGACTTGGTTTGGTTGATTTGGGAGTGGGGGTCTCTTCGGCTCTGGTTCCTTCTGCTCCTCCTAGTCCTTCCCCTTCTGTTGTGCATACTTCTTCCCCTTGCTTCCGGGTCCGAGACATAGTCGGGTTTTGGGGTTGGAGCAGGGTCTGATTGGGTTGAGACTCGGGCAGTCTCAGGGGTTTTCCTCTTCCGGGGTGGCTGAGAAGGCATTCGAGCCTGTTCCTCCAGCCGTGCCATATGGGTCTGACCAGTGGGCTCCCTTCCTTAGAGTTGTGCATGGCTACTCCGGCTTTTCCTTGTGAGGCTGGGGCATTGGGGGTTTGGGTCGGCCCCCTGGATCCTGCTGTTTGAGATTCCCAGGGTTGGGGAGTGGTTGCCTGGGGGGGGGAGGCCCTCGGACCTTCCCGTTTTGCCTCGCTTGGGTCTCCTCGGTGCAGTGCTTGCAGTTCCTCAGAGTGGGATTTTTTCCTTTCCCCTCTGCGTTCATGGTGGTTTCGGGTCTACCTCTCCCTGGGTTCGGTTTCCGTGTCCCTTCGGGTCAGTCGGTCCTGTCATTCCTGAGGGTGTGTTTCACCCCCTTTTCCTACCCCTTTTCGCACTTACATTGCGATGCTGTTCCGTTCATATCGGGGTCCCCCTGCATGTCCCTAGATCAGGGGTATCTTTTTGTTCATATGTACATCCGTGCATTTGTGCTTGCTTGTTGTGGTTCTTGTTGGTTCGCGAACCTCTTCGTACCTTCCAATATTATTGGAACGTCTGTTGACTTTCGGTGAGGTTTCCCTCTGGTCCTTTTTCGGACTCGTTGGTCCCCTTCCGTCCTCCTTGTCTTCTTTCGCTTCTGTTTCGCCTTATTTTGTTTTCACATTGTCTCTCCTTCCTGTTTTGACATACCTCGTATTCGTTACGTACGCCTTGCTGGTGTATGATATGTTTGTCCATCTAGTGTACGAGTCACACAGCCCGATGGACAGGTGGTACGGTTCGTACCTCGCGTGCTGGGCCCGGGTGTTTGTTTCATTTTCTGGGAAACGTGTGTTCCGTGTCATTTATCGCAGTTTTTCTATGGCTTCTCGCTCATCTTCTTTCTCCAGTAATAGCCCTCTAGATGCTGGGGGTGTTCTGGATTTTATATGTGGGGACGTCACTTCATTCTTTTCCCCTGCTTCAGGAGGTAGGGTGGCTCTGTGTGGTGCCACCTCCACCTCTGTACTGCACCTCGTCTTCTGCTGGGCACGCACCTATGGACTTATTTCGACTACGAATTCATGTTTTTGTTCGGATATCAGTACATACAATACCTACAGCCTCTTATATGCATACCATTCGGACGAGCCACTGGCGATGCTCCTTGTGTTTTACTCGGCTCGACTGTGTTGTGGCACGGTCGTGTCTCCGCGCTGCAGGTGAGATTGTATTTTCTGGCGGCTCTGTCAGCCAGGTGCTGGTTCTCAACTTTTGATGGGGTGCTTGCCTAATTGTGCTTACGGGGGTTGAGCTCTGGCTCTTGGTCCCGCCTTTCAACTGTCGGTCGACGGGTGTGCAGTTTCCTGAGCTTACTGGGCTCTATCTTCTCTACAATTGCACCTGTGTGTGTGGTGTCTGCCTCTACCACAGCGCCTCCTAGTGCATTCCGTTACTTCCTCCTCCGACATTGATCAGGTCCTTTTTAATGTCTGTGGCTCATTTGGGTACTCAGCTTCCTCCTGTGTACCCTTGTGCGTGTACCCCCCTTGTTTACTCTGTCACTTCCCCGCTTGACATGGTTGTGTCAATGGCTCCTAACAGGGTTGTTAGGTGTTGTGTGTTTTGCTTGGACACCTTGCGTGTGTTTTTTGTGACTTTCCTTTCTCTGTGTATCATGTTCTTCGTTGTACTGTGGGACACTGCCCCACATTTTGGTGCTTTTATTAGTTTTTCGGCACCTGGGTCTTTTCCCTATATTTGGACACTCCATTGTTCCCTCGGTCTGTGCTTTGTGTCCTTTCTTGCTTGGTCTCTGTTCTCTGGACACTCCTTCCTTGCCTATCTTCGGTGCCTAGCTGCACCCTGATATCCATGGTGTCCCTCTATGTTTATGTGACGTCCCACTCCACACTGTGGTTGGTCATGTACATTGCGTTCCCGGCTGCTTCTTGGTCCGTCTTCGGGGGTTTTCCTTGCCAATTTCCGTTTTTTCCTCCTGTGCTACACATGGCTCTGTTTCTGAGTCAGTGCTTATTGGCTATACTAATTTTAGGTGCTGGGGTGGGCATGTTAAGTTCCCTGCTTTTGGACTACCCCAGTGTTCAGTTTGATGCCGAGTTCCTTCATTTTTTTCGTTGTATCTCACTGCAGGCTTCTGTGTTGCACTATCTGTATGGGGGTGGACATCTTCAAGCGGAAACTAGATTTATTCCTGCAAGGAGTGCCGGACCGCTCCAAGCAACAGCCTAGTGGACCAAACTCTCACAAGTCAAGTCTGGCCTCAGGCCGGGCTTGGGGAGTAGAAGATCTCCCAGAACCCCATCAACCAGGGTGGTGGACTTCTGGTCTACCACTCCTGCCCTACTGGTTCCTGTTCTTGGGACAGGTAGCTGGGATTCTGGTCCTGGCTTCAGTTTCTCTTTCTTCCTTTTAGGGAACGTGTGTTTTTGTTTTCCTGCGGTTCACATCCTGCATAGTTCCCCTCCTGTATACCTTGGGGATGCGCGCATTCGTTTTCCCCTGTTGGAGCTGGTTGCGCAGCTCCTTGAGTTGCAGGAGTTGTTTTGCTTTGCATCTCGCGTTTTTGTTCACGGTGCTTCTTTTCCTTGTTGGCCTCTGCCTGGGCCCTGGCTCCTTGGGGTTTGGCCTTGTTGGTCCTTCAGGGGTCCTAGAGGAGAGAGGGGGGGGGGTCCTCCCAGACCGGGTGTGTCTGCTCGCCCGGGTTAGTTCCTTTTCAGCTCGCTGGGGTTGGGTTCCTGGTTTCCCTGGCAGCCGTTTCTTCTGGTTTTTGCCTGCCTTGGCAAGATCTGCTGCTTTCTTCGGTTCCGGTCCTGTGAGTCTTCTCGCGGCTCCGCCTCTTTTTGCTAATCGGTCCAGCCCTGTTCAGGGCTGGTTCATTCTTTCCCCCTTGAGTCTTTGCATCTCGAGGTTTTGTCTTTAGTTTCTCGTCGCTTGTGTGGGCACTGGTGGCTTCGTTGTTGGTCTCCCACCTGCGTGCTTGGTCTCAGCAGCGGTGTGTAGTTCCTGGCAGTCCTTCCAGTTGTCCTATCACTGCGCAGGGTCCTTCGGTCTCTGATAGGGTTGTTTTGTCTTTCCCTTTGGAGTTGTTCCAGGTCCGCCGTCTCTAGCTTGCGTTCGGTGTTGCTGTTCCTTCTGTTCCGTTCCGCTTGCTGTCTTGGGCATTGTTTCACCTCCGGCCTGCTCTTGCGTTTCCGGTGCCATCCTGGTCGTTGGCCCGGATGGTCTATTTTCTTTCTTCTCCTTGTTTTGGTCCTTGGGTTGCTGCTTGGTTGGTCAGGCCAAGGGGCTTCCTTTGTTGTTCGGTTGTTGTTCTTTGCTGTTCCCTGTGTGTCTTGGCTTCTCGGGTTGTGGACGCGTTTTAGTTTGACCGGGTTCCCCTTCCTTCCCTCATTCCTGTTCTGGGGTTCGGGTCTGCGGGGTTGTGTGCATGGTCTTTTTAGTTTTGTCTGTGGTCGTGTTTTTTAGGTTAGGGCTCGTGGCGTCCGCCTCCCGGATCCTTCTCTCTTTTCCTTATCTGTGATGAGGTAGCTCTGGGAAGCTGATGGGGCTCCCCCCAGAAAACCAGTGTTGAATGTAATGAAATGCCATTTTCTGGGTGAGTCCCGGAGGCTCCCCGGCATCCCTCCATCCCTCCGGTTGGCGGTGTTTTTCACATATATTGACATCCAGCCTAAGAACTGCCGGTTGGATTGCCGGCGCAGATGGTCTGGGGCTCCCCCTTTCCCCTCCTGGGGAGGGGGGGGGGGGCGGGGTTGCACAGACGGCGGCGTGGTGACGTAATGATAGTTTGGTAATTTTGTTTGGGGAGTTCTGTCCACTTGTTCAGCTTTTGGTAGCAATATTTTCACCAGAATAGGGGTTTGTTTTGGGGCGCCTACCTTTCTGGGTGCCTGTCCCAGGCGATGGCAGACATAGAATGCTTCCAACCACATGGGGATTTCTATAGGCCATTGCTCCTCATGCCTCTCTGAGGAAGCCAGGTTCTGGCTCGTGGTCCTCGGTAGGCAAGAACTCAAGCACTTTGATGCCAGAAAGTTATACATGTTCATTCAGCCTGGATAGCTCCAGGGAGCTTCCAGGACTAGCCCAGAAAATGGCGTTTCATTACATTCAATGCTGGTTTTTTACCGTTGAAAATTTTTCTTGAAATAGTGTCTCAATGTGATTGTTTGGCTTATTAAATAGCTTTTTTTGTTTTCCCGTTTCAGGTGTGGATGCCTTAGCGCATGGTTGTCCAAAGTTAAAAGGTTTTGTTGGAAAAGGGTTGAAGGCACTCACAGACCCAGCGCTCATCTCTCTTGCACAGTACTGTAAAGACCTTGAACACATAAATTTACACGGATGCTCGGTAAGTTTTGCGTCCCCTGTTGACGAGATACATTCTTAATTTCAGATAAAAAAATTCTGAATTAATTTAAATAACACTAACTTACTTACGATATTATGAGAAATTGTTGTTTGTGTACGATGGGATCCCTAGGTATGTGCTGGACCATGATGGTAGTGCATGTAACCGGAGTTCAGGGATGTGGGCTTGATCCCTTTGTATGTCCTCAATATTTTCTTAGGTATCCGCAACATCATATTCCTTTGATTTAATTGTTTTGAAGAAGACAAAACGTTCTATTTACACCACTATACCAGAATATTACAAACAAGATTGTGTTTATAATTTACCATACTTCCAGTGCCAATAACCCATTATCAATGCAGTTTAAAAAACCAGCATTGAATGTAATGAAACGCCATTTTCTGGGTGAGTCCCGGAGGCTCCCCAGAGCTATCCAGGCTGATTAGGGATAGTCTTAACTTTTAGCATCAGTCGATGTGGGTGGAGTTCTAGGCCTACCGGGGACCACGGCCAGAACCTGGCCCCATCAGAGAGGCACGAAGAGCAATGGCGTATTGAAATGCACATGTGATTTTGGATCATTCTATATCTGCCATCAACCGGGACAGGCAACCCAGAAAGGTAAGTGCCCCAAAACAAACCCTTATACTGGTCAAACCAACAAAAATAATGAAACAAGTGAACAGAACTCCCGAAAGGGTAATCGAGCAAACAAGCATGACGTCACACGAGCCATGCCGCATGTCTGCGTAGCTCCCCCCTCCCCAGGAGGGGGAAGGGGGAGCACGAGACCCCTGCTCCAGCGCTCCACGCCTCCAGTTCCGAGGTTGGATACCAAAAGACGCGAAAACCACCGACCAGAGGGAGGGAGGGTTGCTGGGGTGCCTCCGAGACTCACCCAGAAAATGCCGTTTCATTGCATTCAACGCTGCTTTTCTGGGGGAAGCCCCTACAGCTCCCTGCAGCTACTTCACCAAAGACCAAGGAAAGAAAGGGACTTAAAGAAAATGCAGAATGGAACCAGTAAAGAGCAGGGGTGCCATAGGCACAATCAGAGAACACTGTACAAACATCAGAAGTCCACGGTTGCTCAACACCCTCCCAGCGAGCATAAGAAATATTGCCGGAACAACCGTGGACATCTTCAAGAGGAAACTAGATTGTTTCCTCCAAGAAGTGCCGGACCAACCGGGCTGTGGTGGGTATGTGGGCCTGCGGGCCGCTCTAAGCAAACAGCCGAATGGACCAAACTCTCATAAGTCAAGCTTGGCCTTGGGCCGGGCTTGGGGAGTAGAACTCCCAGAACCCCATCAACCAGGTATCAACCAGAGAGGTTGATACCTGAGAGGCGGTCGGTGCTCCACACCTCAACGCGAAGTCGAGACAGGCCCAACTAGGCCCAGGAACGTCTACGAGGTAGCATGCAACCAAGACCCCCGTTCGACCGCCAAAAACCCTGTGCCTGAATGTCAACCCAGGACATGTTCCCAAAAAACGGCAGCAAGAGCAGCGAACTTACGAACGTCATGGGCACGGGGATAGCCCGCAGGCTGGACTTAATAACCCTGCGGACGACCTGAGAGACCCGTACTCGCGAACAGGGAAGAAGGGGAAACCGGATCAACCCAAAGCGGGTCCACAAAATAGAGAATATCCTTGATAACATAGCAAACCCACTACCAGATATTATCTTCCTTGGAGACTTCAATCTACCCAGTTTAAAATGGAGAATAGTAAACAATAACATTATAGATGGAAATAACCAACCACAGGTCAGAGAACTACTGAGATTCTGCGACAAATTCTCACTCAGTGAGCAGATTACAAAAACAACTAGGAACGAAAACACGCTGGACCTGATATTCACGAACAGTGAGGAGCTAATTAGAGACATTACTGTCTCAGACACTACGTACTCAGACCACAAGCTCATTGAAGTGCAAACTAACATTAATAACGGTGGTAGGCCCAAGAGAAACAAGCGAGAAGGGTTATTCAATGAATTAAATTTTAATAATAAAAGGATAGACTGGGAGAAAATAAACAGGGATCTTACAAACATTCAATGGAAAAATGTTCTAAGAAATAAAAATCCTACACAAGGAATAGAAAAACTGGCTTCTGAAGCCTATGAAGTCTGTCTGAAACACGTTCCTTTGAGGAAAGCCAGAAAGAGGTCCAATGTAGAAAGAGAACGCAGACGATATTACAAAAGAAGGAAGAAATTAACGGAAATGTTTAAGCAGACACGACTCTCCATACGAAGAAGAAATAATTTAAACAGGGAGATTGAAGAAATCGAACAGAGACTGAAGCATTCCTATCAAGCTGAAGAAAGGCAACTAGAACAGAAAGCAATTCAAGAAATAAAGAAAAACCCAAAATATTTCTTTACATATGCTAAATCAAAAGCGAAAACCACTACCAGTATTGGACCTATTCGAATTAGTGAAGGTCCATACACTGAGGATGACAAAGAAATTAGTGAAATCCTAAAAAAACAGTATGAGGACATGTTTAGCACTCCGATACACAGCATGAAAGTGGAAGATTTGGACAATTTCCTTATGAGTGATATCCAAACACCTGTAAATATAACTGATATCAACACGAGCGTAGCAGTTTTTGAAAGAGAAATTGACAATATGCCCATGCATTCAGCCCCGGGTCCAGACTCATGGAATTCAATATTTATAAAGAAGTGCAAAGTGCCAGTAGCAAAGGCACTCAGTATAGTGTGGAGGAAGAGCCTGGACATGGGGGAGATACCAGATGCGCTGAAAGCAGCAGACATAGCCCCTCTACACAAGGGAGGTAGCAAAGCACTGGCAAAGAATTATAGACCAGTTGCACTAACATCCCACATAATAAAAGTATTTGAGAGAGTGATCAGGAGTCAGGTCACTAGATTCATGAAAACTAATGACCTCCACAATCCAGGCCAACATGGATTTAGAGCAGGAAGATCATGCCTCTCACAGCTACTTGACCACTATGACAAAATCACTGAGGGATTAGAAGAAAAACAGGATGCAGATGTTGTATACACAGATTTTGCAAAGGCATTCGACAAATGTGACCATGGAGTGAATGCACACAAAATGAGGTCAATGGGTATAACTGGTAAAATAGGATGCTGGATACTCAATTTCCTGTTGAACAGAACAGAAAGAGTAACAGTCAATCAAGTAAAATCGAGTCTGAGCGCAGTTAAAAGCTCTGTACCTCAGGGTACAGTCCTTGCACCACTGCTTTTCCTTATTCTCATATCAGATATAGACAAAAATACAAGTCACAGCTTCGTGTCATCCTTTGCAGATGATACAAAAATCAGCATGAAAATTACCTCTGCTGAAGACATTGAAAAACTACAAACAGACATAAACAAAGTTTTTGATTGGGCAGCAGAAAATAACATTTTGTTTAATGGTGATAAATTCCAGGTACTCAGATACGGCAAAAATGAGGATCTGAAACATAATACAGGGTACAAAACACAATTGAATCTGCCCATAGTAAGAAAACAGCATGTCAAGGATTTGGGAATTATGATGTCCAACGACCTAACGTTTAGGGAGCATAACCAAGCGAGTATTGCGTCAGCCAGAAAAATGATAGGATGGATTACGAGAACTTTCAAATCCAGGGATCCCATCACAATGGTTGTACTCTTCAAGGCACTTGTGTTGTCCCGTCTTGAGTACTGCTCAGTACTCACTTCCCCCTTCAAAGCAAGAGAGATTGCTGAAATAGAGGGAATACAGAGAACATATACGGCACGCATAGACGCAATAAAGCACCTAAATTATTGGGATCTTCTCAAAGCCCTCCAAATGTACTCACTAGAAAGAAGACGAGAGAGATATCAAATAATATACACCTGGAAGATACTGGAAGGCCAAGTACCAAATCTACACAGTAAAATAACAACGTACTGGAGTGAACAATATGGAAGAAAATGTAGAATAGAACCAGTGAAGAGCAGAGGTGCCATAGGCACAATCAGAGAACACTGTATAAACATCAGAGGTCCCCGGTTGTTCAACACCCTCCCAGCAAGCATAAGAAATATTGCCGGAACAACCGTGGACATTTTCAAGAGGAAACTAGATTTATTCCTCCAAGGAGTGCCGGACCAACCGGGCTGTGGTTGGTATGTGGGCCTGCGGGCCGCTCCAAGCAACAGCCTAGTGGACCAAACTCTCACAAGTCAAGCCTGGCCTCGGGCCGGGCTTGGGGAGTAGAAGAACTCCCAGAACCCCATCAACCAGGTATCAACCAGGTATGGTGGCCACTGTACTGTTTGGACACAATACCGGCTTACTTGCATAGCTCTGGTAAATAAAACATGTAGATAGGTATATACAACATGTGTAATAAGAACTATAGCAATATGGTGGGAGGAGTAATGTTGGCGAGTAAGATGTTGGAGTGAGGGAGACTGGCTGGGTGTGGCTGCTCTCACTCGAGGTGTTCTGAATATGTTCATGGCCAAATGCTCCTATTGGCCCATACGAGGCAGCTGCTATTGGCCCATACGCGGCAGCTGCTATTGGCCCATACGAGGCAGCTGCTATTGGCCCATACGAGGCAGCTGCTATTGGCCCATACGGGGCAGCTGCTATTGGTCCATACGAGGCAGCTGCTATTGGCCCATACGAGGCAGCTCCTATTGGCCCATATGCGGCAGCTGCTATTGGCCCATACGGGGCAGCTGCTATTGGTCCATACGAGGCAGCTGCTATTGGCCCATACGAGGCAGCTGCTATTGGCCCATACGAGGCATCTGCTATTGGCCCATACGAAGCAGCTGCTACGCGATGTTCTGAATGTGTTGATGGTAAATGTATATAGTGTGTGACAGTGTATAGTGAGTACATATGTTGTAAATATACATAAATGAACATGAAACATTGGTGTGAATAACTGTATGATGGGAGAGGCAAAGTTGGCGAATACAATGTTGGAGAAGTGAGGGAGGGAGGGCTGGGTTTGGC